AAAAAAAACTCAGCAAGGCATCCATGCAAACAGATCTGGCCTTCGCCCTCAGCCCAGGTTCCTAGGTGAAAGGGTCCAGGGTCCTGGGACACGCTCTTTTAAATCAGGAAGTCCCACCCCTAGGCCCACCCCCAGGCCATGTGCTCAGGAGACAAAAAGAAAGCCCAGGAAAAAAAAAACTCAGCAAGGCATCCATGCAAACAGATCTGGCCTTCGCCCTCAGCCCAGCTTCCTAGGGGAAAGGAGCCAGTGTTTTGTCCAAAGACAATCTTCCGTGGTCACATGGCCAGTGCGACTTAGACATTACCTTCCCACTGAGGTGGTCCCTATTTATCTACTTGCATCTGCATGCTTTCGAACCGCTAGGTTGGCGGGAGCTGGGACAAGCGACGAGAGCTCACTCCGTCCCGTGGATTCGATCATACGACTGCTGGTCTTCTGACCCTGCAGCACAGGCTTCTGCGCTTTAGTCCGCAGCGCCACCATGTCCCTAAGACTGGCATAAGTTGCACTTAAGTTGTACTTATTTGGAATGCAGGTTCAAGAAGACCCTTAAATGAATTACAATTGCAAAATGGATGGGAATTGGTGCTTTGTCTTGTTCCCTTAAGCGCCACCTCCCTACCACAGCACCTCTGCATTCCCCTGGACTACTCACCTCATGGTCCACGGCTTGTTTGAACCCTTGCTTCTTTTTGGCGGCCTTCCCCTTCCCCTTTCTGGGGCCAGCAATTTGTTGGGTGACCAGTTCCACCCCATCCTGGATGAGAAGGTCAGTCAGTTCTTTCAAGAGAGCCAGCTGTAAGTTGACAGCAACTGGTTAAACACCATGGAATGTAGAGAAGATTAATGAATCACAGGATGATGGAGTTGGAAGGGACCTCTAAAGCCATCGAGTCCAACCCCTTGCTCCATGCAGGAATCCAAATCAAAGCCGTTCTGACAGAGGGTGGCCCAATTTTCTCTTGAAGGCCTCCAGCATTGGAGTGCTCACCCCTCTCCCAAAGTAATGGGTTCCATTGTCGTACTGCTCTAACAGTTAGGCAGTTTTTCTGATATTCAGCTGAAATCTGGCTTCTTGTTGCTTGAGCCCATTCTTACATGCCCTGCACTCTGGGATGATCGAGAACAGATCCTGCCCCTCCTCTGTTTGACAGCCTTTCAAGTATTTGAAAAGTACTATTCTATCACCCCTCGTTTTTTCCCCCTCGTTAAGCATGCTCAATTCTTTCAGCCTTTCCTCCAAGGGCTTGGTCTCCTGCCCCCTCACCCTCCTTGTCACCGTCCTCTGAACTTGTTCCAATTTGTCAGCATCCTTCTTGAATTGTGGAGTCCAGAACCGGCCATAGGACTCTTAAATGAGACCTAACCGGTTCTAAATAGTGGGGAACTAGTTCCTCACAGGATTTGGAGACTGTACTTGTGTGAATTAATGAGCTTGAAACAATATAGTCTCACCCCACTTATGCTATTGAGAAGTATACACTCTTTGGTTGTTTAACATGCTTATAGCCTCAGTACTGTACTCCATGTGTCTGAAGAGATGGACTGTAATCAGTGAAGTTCACACTGAAATAAATCTGCTCGTTTTACAGGTCTCCCAGAACTGTGGCCATTTTGTTTTGCCTTGTCTGTTATTGCACAGCTGAAATCTAGAAGTAAGTCCAAACTAGAGTAAGCTCATTGAATCAGTGTGGTTTTTGTAAGTTAACTCCTCTGTACATTCTACTGAAGTCAATGGGCCTACTTCAGTTACAACTTAGTCCTGAAGGTTAGCCAATGAAACAGACATCAACACAACTACCTTTTAAAATAAGGTTGGTAATTAGACTTGAGGATGAACCCACAAACACCTTATAACCTCTTGCAAAATCATTTGGATTACTGAGGATGGCAAAGGAGACAGAAGAAGGAAGACGGATGACGACACGGGCGCTAGCCAATTATGACCCAACGGACCATCTCTTCCCTTTATACAGTCAGCTTTCTCCTGACATGCTGGAAGCTAACAGACCTTTTCTTCCACTGCTTGGACTTGTTCTCCTTCAGTATTTTTTAACCCATCTGCCTCTCCGGTGCCCCTGAATTTGAGATTCAGGACTGCAATCTCTTTGAGGCACAACATTTTATGTTGTTTTGTTCTTTTGACTTGTAGTATCTTGTAAAGTGGCAGGCACTCAAGTCAGGTCAGGCAAGATGCAGCCCTCCAGATGTAGCACCTAACCTCCCATCATCTCTCTCTTTGCCAATGGCAAAGATATGTGGGAGCCGAAGTCTTATCACCAGTTGACCTTCCCTGCCTTAAAGAGAAAGCGACTTGACTTGCAACCCTCTGCTTTGCTTTATCCCTTCTCTGAAGCAAATGACACAATCCAGGTCCCGTTTGGCTGCTACCAAAGGCTTTGGGTCAAATGCTGTCATGGGCTGAAAAAAAAACCAGGAACACCACCACTCTGTGGAAAGGGGATGGATCAAATGGAGAGGGAGGACAGACCAAAGAAAAGATTTATTGACCCAGCGCGTGGTTAGTCTGTGGAACTCCTTGCCCCAGGATGTGGGGATGACATCTGGCCTAGATGCCTTGAAAAGGGAATTGGACAGATTCCTGCAGGAAAATTCCATTACAGGTGACAAGCCATGATGGGGATGTGCCATCTCCAGGCTTTGAAGGAATGGACCTCCAAAGGCCAGATGCAGGGGAGGGGGATCAGGAGACAGGTCTCTTGTGTGCTCCCAGAGCACATCTGGTGGGGCCACTGTGAGATCCAGGAAGCTGGACTAGAGGAGTCCTGGGCCTGATCCTGCAGGGCTCTTCTTATGTTCTTATGTGGGTGGACAAAGCAAACTCAAAGGTCCTTGGAAACAAGCTTTTGTTATCCTCCCCTGTAAATTGCAGATCCAGCCAAGCATACCTGTGTCCCCTGTCACAGGTGTGTTCCCTAAGCTTAAGATTGTTATTGAACTAGATTTCTCCTGCTGCATTCAGTTTGTAGTTATAGGCAGGATGAGCACATACCTTGATCCCGTAAGCTTCCAAAACGCTTTCCAAACCCTACATGTGGGAGAAATCATAGTAACATTAACAAACAGTGCTGTTCATTGGGTTCCACCCTAAAACAGGCGTCAATCACCAGAGGATAACCTGACAGCTTGATCTCAGGAGGCTTTAATAAAAAGTGGCATTCCATCCTTGCAAACCAGAAGCAGAAAAGTAGTTATTGGGGAGAAAGGGGGATCAGGTGACATCAGAGAAAGGATGGCCATATTATCGGCCATAATGGGCAGATACTGTACACATGGATTTGGGACCCAATAATTCACTAATCATATGGGCTACCAAGTTGCTTCTAGGTGGCCCTAATGGGTTTTTCAAAGTATGGGAGATGTTCAAAGAGCAGGTTTATCATTTGCCACTCCCCAGTGAGTTCCCATAGTCATGTGAGGATTCGAACCCAGTGCTCCTGAGTCTAACCCAATTCTTTTACCCACTGGCTGTCGACTGTGCATATCAGCATACCCTCTTATGAGAGTTTACAGAGAACCTAGAGGACAATTAATTTTTTTCTCTCTGTTGAAACAGCTTACTGGCCTCTTTTGCTCAGTTTAGATGATGCCTTTATAAATGGAGGATGATTTTTCATGAATGAACAGGAGGACAAGAAGCCAGAATACCAAATTTAAAGGTAAAAGAACACCGTTATTGCCCTAAATCCAACTGCAGATGATAACAAGAACAGACCCACCCTATTATTTGTTGAATGTTAAGTCAACACTTATAATCATCCTCGTCATCTTAGAACTACAGAGCTGGAAGGGACCCTATGGATTCATCCTCTGCCAAGAAGGCACAATGTGGAATCAAATTCCCAATCTCTGGCCCTACAGCCACAGACCTGAGCCATTAGATCCTATTGATTCAGCAACTCTTGTTGAGACCAGCAATGGGATTTAGGCCATATGGTGTCATTGGCAAGTACCTGGAGCCTGTGTTGGTCTTCACACACAAAGCCAAGAAGTCAAAATGATACAGGTCTGCTCATCCACTCATCTATAGACGTGCACACATCCTGCCTTTTCAAAAACCACCCCCAGAGATTCCATCTATGAATGGAAAGGAGCTCCCCCTTTGGAACTTGCTTCCAAACCCTACGGAACGACGGCACGTTGCTCCATGGCCTGCCTGCTCCATTGAATGTCTATTCCTCATCCTATGGATCAATCTTTGTGTCTTGATTTACCTTGATATCCATCCCTTTGCCAGGAGGTCCAGGTTCTCCCTTTGAAGAAGAAGAAGAACTGACATGTCAATGCATCCATAAATTCAGGAGCAAGCGTTGAAAGAGAACACCAGGTCACTCAAGTCAAATGTTGGCTCCTTTTCATTCAGAACCGTGTTTCCCAACCTTGGGTCACCCGGATGTTCTTGGACTACAACTCCCAGAAATCCTGGCCAGCACAGCCCGTGGTGAAGGCTTTTGGGAATTTTAGTCGAAGAACTTCTGGATGACCCCAGGCTGGGAAACATTGATTTCGGAGGAAAACCACAAAGGATCAAGTCAGATCGCACGGCTAATGAAACATCGGACGCTAAGAACAGTTTCGAAGAGATATATCTTGGACGAATCAAGTTTGGGAAGGAACAGCGAATTTTCTTCTGCCATGATCAGCTATGACACACAACACGTTCATTTGCAAGACACCGTAGGTACGAACTCTTGAGTGATGACAACCAGATGTCGTTCAGCACATAAGGAACCCCTGCTTCTGGCAACATGCGATTTGCAATCTTCCAGTCTGCATCTAAGTATGGACATGGAAGAATGTGTGGTGTGAATAAGCTGGATACAGACAGGGTGATTTTTGCTCTTAAATAACTCAAGAGATGCTAACGGAGTCTGTATTCTCCCCGAATAGGAAGAAGCTGCAACTATCTTAAAAATGAGGTGTAGAATCTAAATATTAATGATAAATTAACTTGTGGGTTGAAAGTTAGGAAAAGATTGTTAAGAGAACATACTCTGTTTCCCCGAAAATAAGACCTAACCTGAAAATAAGCCCTAGTGTGATTTTTTAGGATGCTCGTAATATAACCCCTA